TGATCTGATCTTGATTCCTTGATAACAGCTTTTCTGAGCTGCATATCTGATGTCTGATTTTTGAAGTAACAACTTATATCAGTACATCTGATTTTGACGTTGAATTCCTTCTTTATGATCTCTTGAATTCTGATCTTTGGATTGAGCTGGAAGTAACCACTTATGTTATCAACATCTTTATTTCTGATATTGAATTATTTCTTTGGGTATCTGATATCTGGTGCTTTCCTGAGAACACACTTGATTCCCTTTCTGATGAACATTTAGCATTCCTTGGAACTGCTGATGTTTCTTTAGAAATGGTCACAATATTTCTTCTAGTGAGTGCAATGGTATTTTTGATGATATTAGTCTTCTGACGAATATTACTTCTGTTGAGTAGATTGATTTGAGAAGATAACATCCTTTGATCTTATCTTTTGATGAACTTTGTGATGTTAATTAGAAATGAGTCCAGAAGATCTTTCTTTCTTTGATCCTTTCTTCTGATGGAATACTTCTGATCTTGAATAGAAGTGAATACTCATTGAACTATTTGAGTCTTCGGAATCTTGACTTTGTCTTCAAAGGTATGTGCAGCAACTCTTCTGATGAACAAATCTTAACTTCTGATCTTTATGTTAGAAGCTTGTTTCTTGTGCTCTTTGATTTCTGATCTTTTGAAGCCTGAGCTCTTCGTAGAAACTCATCGAGATTCTTTTCTTGTCCAACATTCAACATTCCACAAAACTATTGATGTTACATTAGAAATAAAACTCAATGGTTCTTCTTATGAGTGTATAACGTGATTCTGATGATATCTTGATTAAGACTATCTAGAATTCTAATGATGTATCTGCACACTCAATGAAACCATTAGTACTACAATTGTTCTTCATAAAATATATGCTTGTTATCATCAAAACACAAATATTTAAACACAGGTCTAAATCTTGTTCTAACAGGCATGTCATACAACTGCTCTTTCTGAGGCAGCATAAAACTCACATAGGGAGGCCTTCGGTCTCCTATATTCCGTAACTCCCTAGAAAAGGTCGGTGCATTTAATGCTTGTGGTGATGAAGTCCCTGCATCTGGCAGTACAACCAACATGACTATTTAGCTTATGATTGTGGTTATTTCGTCAACCGATGTTGGAGGACCAAAATTACCAACACTCGTTGCCACTGGTTGTTCTCATGGGTTTGGTGCATTATATTGTGGGGTGTTGATTTCTACAAGACATAACTGGAAGTTGTCTACCACTCCTCAAAAGCATATATTCAAAAACTCGTAATGTTTGTGTGGAGAAACAATACAAAGAAAATACGTAAGACGCCTCTTTTTGCAAGAATGTTTTGAAGTATTTGCATAAAAGGGTCCCATCAGGTGTGCCCATTTGTTTACTTATGTTTTTGGTAACCAGACACGAGTTTAGAAATCAAGTGAAATTAACTCGAAAAATATCCAAGCAATTTGTGCAAATGATTTGTGTGAACACACATGCGTGTGAATTGAATGCAGTTATCATTTGGACGATAGCGACGTAGAAACAAACTTTAAATGAAGGTAAGTTGTGATAAATGACAAGATAAAATGCATTAAATGAAATTAAACAAGATTGAAAGTGAAAGCAAGAGAAAGCTAATGTTGCATTTAAGGAAAAAAATAATGGAAAGACCGGAAGCAGACAGATACATGTTTCTCACGCACTATTTTTCTCTTTGACTCCGGAACTCCAGTGTTATGGAGAGTATGTATGAAATTCTGCAACCTCTGTTACAATGTACGAGTCTTCTATTTATTCTATTTACAAAATAACTGTCAACAACGATTTCATCCACTATGGAACTATTGTGTTTTACTCCATGTTTGGTCTTCAGGTTTTCACTAGTGTGTCTACGTATCACCCATGATTCTTTCTATTTACAACCCATGTTGAGTTATAACCGCTTCAAACTTCCCCACAAAATTCCGATAATAATTTCCCAACGTGATGTCGACGTTGCTTATAGAGGACTTTGAACATGTAAAAATACTAAGTATTTAACCTTTCGTAGTTCAATCGATTGATATGTTTGTTGCGGTGAGGGTCATGCCGACTACCCTTTTTGATATTATGGACATGTTTCCAAATGATCCTAATCTTGTAGATTTGTTCTTGAGACTCTTCCAAACCATGTCTTCCTTCGTCGACACCTCAATTGATGCCTTGTCGACGCTTCGTCATTAATGCCCTTAATACACTTTATTAATTCTTTCTAATAGTAAATGTTTTTTCATTTTGACATTCATTGTTGAATTTCTAATAGCTAAAAAACCAAGTGTAATAATAGGGTGGTACTACCCCATGTATTATTCCCTCTTCATCACAAAACTTCAAAAAGTCATTTGAGAAATATTCACCTCCACCATCTGTTTTGGGAACTTTGAGCTTGTGACTGCTTTGTCGTTCAACCATGGACTTAAACTTCTTAAACACTTCGAATACCTCATTCATTCTCTTGATTAGGTATGTCCATATCTTTCTACTATAATCATTGATAAAAGTGACAAAATACATATTGTCACCAAACGAATCAACTTGCATCGGTCCACACACATTGGAATACACCACCTTAAGGTGATGCTTTGTTCTACAACCTCCATCCTTGATAAATTTATCCTTGTGTTGCTTCGCTTTCACACACTCTTCACAAACCTCAATTGGTATGGTTATGAATGGCAACCTTGTTACCATTCTATTATTTTGCAATGCATTGAGATCTCAAAAATTGAGATGCCCAAGATGGTAGTTCCACACCCACTCTTCTCGAATTTCCATTGTAGCAAGACACCTATGCTCCATAACCTTCAACTCAGTCTTGAAATTTCTATTGAAAGCCATAGGAGCTTTAAGTACAAATACCTTGTTTGCATCCATAACGCACAATGTCTTGTCTTCCATGCGAATTTTATAACCCTTTTTAAGAAATTGGCCAATACTTAGAAGGTTACATTTGATTCATGGAATGTACAATACATGTTTGATCAAGAAATATCCATCATTCCTTTTCATGATCAAAATACCACTGATCCCATTGGCCGCTAAAGTGATGTCATCTACGAATTTCACCTTATTCTTTGTGGCTTGATAGCTTTTGATAAACCAACCCTTTATCCCCATCATATATGTAGAGCAACCATAATTCAAGTATCATTCCTCGCTGCACTTGACTCTTTCTCTCACAGTCACCATAATATTTTCTTTTGCAAACATTTTTGAAGTGTTCTCAGAACTGCTGTTGTTGTTGCCCCGCATCCCGCTGTTGCTACATTCACCTTATGTGGTCATGACCAAGAGTGCATTCTCTTCATCAACCTCTTTTCTAGAAACCTAAGCTTCATCTCCTTGAGATTTCCTCTATTTCGTGTTGCATTCTCTTGCAAAATGACCGAACTTTTGACAATTGAAGCATTGTGCCTTGCTCATGTCAATCTTTCCTCTTCTGCCTCTAAAATTGCCTTGACCACCATTTTTGTTACAGATGCTTTTGCCCTTTTGACAAGTTGAATTCTTCAAATTTTGAGACTCTTTTCCACCAAAATTCTGAAAATTTCTTTTACTCTTCATATGCCATTTTTCTTTTGACCTCTTGTTCTTCTCATTGAACTGAGCTTGTAAACAAATCTCCGCATTTTCCTTGTCGTTATTTCTCTCCTCCATCCTTTGCTCATGAGCCTCAAGAGAGATTTGAAACTCATATTTGTCCAATGTCATAAGATCCTTCAACTCTTCATTCACCACTACAATGTTGTCAAATCTTGCTGTCAAAGAACGCAAGATCTTCGACATAACATTCTGCTTAGAAATAGTTTTTCCACAAGACTTTATCTAGTTCACCAATTGCGTAATTCATGTCACGTAATCCTCGATTGTCTCTTTTTCTTCCATTTGAATCAATTCAAATTGAAGTTTGTGAGTTTGTAAGCTCACCGCCTTTGCCTTATCATCCCTTGCATATGCCTTTTCCAAGATTTCTCACGCTTCTTTTGACGACTCACAATCACTAACTTTCTCAAAGTTGTCACCATCCACACAATGATGGATAAAGAACAACGCCTTGTAATCTTTCTTCTTTTCTTCCTTGTGTTTTGCTCGTTGTGCATTTGTTGCAACTTTGACAAGGAATTCACCCTATTCTTGATCACTTCAAGAACATCTTGGTAGCCAAACAACGCTTTCATTTGCTTGCACAATTTGTTGCAGTTCTTCGCATCAAGGGTTGATAAATTTGTAGGGACTATATCATTAGAGACAAAATTCATGTTGCATAATGGGTGTTTGTGGATCAGAATCAGACTCTTGATGCCAAATATTGGAACATACAATCACACAATTTATAAACAATTAAGTATGTGGAGAAAGAGATAACAAGAGAGAAAACAGATAGAGAGATAATTGAGTGTGGAAATATTATTTTACATTAACTTTGATGATGATGCCTACAAGCTTTTTATACAAAACATTTTAAAATAATTGAAACACAAAACACACAATCCAAAAATAACAAAAAGCAAAAAATTACACTTGTAACCGATTACCTAAAACCTATAACCGATTACAACTAATACAAAATAAAAAAAAATGCCATGAAGTATAACTGATTAATGCGAAAGCATAACATATTACTCCAGCTTCAAAAATACTTTTTTTTTTTCCTTTTTCCAAAAATACTTTTCAGCTAGCTATTAACAACACTTAAATTACTTAATTTTCTCTTAATTTTCTCTTAACATAAAGAAGGGGTGAAGTTATCATAAAAATGAACTCTCAAATCTAACATATGTCCGTCACACAAATCTAACAAAGTTTTACATCTTAGACAGAAACGAAATTACGTGTAGCCAAAAGAGACTAAATTAAATACAAGAAAGGAAAAATAATTGGTTGAAACATAGACAAACATTGCAGGATCTTGGTTCAAACATAGATCAATACAAATTACAATATGCTGAGTCGAAATCAATGAAATTTGTTTTCATTTATGAAAGAAACCTCCGGCCGCCTTTGCAAAATCACCAAGTCCATGCCCATGTCCACCTGATTCTCCACCGTCGGTTTCGGCAGCAGTATCATCGCTTTTGTGGTGACCTGGTTTCGAAGTTGGATGATCACCGGTAGCGGTAGCGGTGGTGGTGGTAGTAGCATGATAGTGATGAAGATAATCAGCAGCCTTATCAACGTACTGTCCTAACCCTTTCTGATCATCCAATTTAGCATAATCACCAACTGCATCTAGAAGATCTGCTGCTGCATCAGCCACCTTCCCTTTGTCTACCGCCTTCCCATCAGCTCCTGGTCCAAAACCTGACTGTGCTGCCTCTGCTACCACTTTTGCGCTTGCCATAAGCTCGCTCGTTGAATGCTTCTTCGCTGCTTCCCCGCTCCCTGTGGTATTGTGAGATTCTGAAGAAGCCATTATCGTTTTGATGATAATTTAATTTACAGGAGTTGGATTCTGCAATATTTGAAGAGGTTTTCAATTATTGATAAACTATGGGTGATTTTTTTTGGGAGAAATGTCTATGGAAATTGTCGTTGAAGATCTTAATGGCGTCTACCTTCTCGATTCAGATATGTATAAATATACAGTGGGGACACACGTGTCGTTTGAAACACTGTTTGAGGTAAACCGTGCTCTTTTAACTATGATGTCTCCTTCTTTCTCTCTCCATCTTACAATATATATTTTTTTAAACCAAAAAGATTATATTAAAAACAAAACTTCTTAAGAACAAAGCTTAAGTTTAGGAAATCCCCGTCTTGTCTAACAAGTAATTTGAAATAATGTCTTCATGGACAAAATTATATCAAGTGAAATATTTGCTTTTTAAGTTGATATTAGTTAGAAAATTCGCATAAAAATTGACATTTTTAAAGATACGTGTGATCATGAAATCAATGTTAAGAGTATACGCTCAACACGTAAGTCAACGAGACTTGATTTTTCACGGAACCAGATGATGATTCGAAAAGGCTTTTACAATTAGCTTACAATCAATTTTTAACCATAATTTTGGTCAATTCAAAACTTTGGCCTTTTCAATGACAATAACAACTGCCAAGAATTCAACATAAATCGGGGTTCCAAAATCCAAAAAAAGCACTGAAGCTAATCAAATGATTTGCACTTTCATCTCTGAAAAGACCTCCACAAGCTGATAGCATAGGCGAACCGGAAGCAACACCATCAATGTTACACTTAATCAAACCACAAGGAGGAGGACTCCAAAAGACTTCAACAATGGTAGACATCTTACGAGAGTTAATGTTAATATCAAAACCTTTAAGCATAGAGAAGTTTTCTATGGAAGCATTGGATTTATAAGAAGTTAAGTTACCAATAAGTTTTGCACGAGCTACAATATCAAAAATGCAAGACTTTCAGTGAATGCTTTTGTTGTCAAACTAAGTTTTATTCCTAGCCTGCCAAATTTGATAGAGAGAAAAGGCAATGCAGGCTTTGATAACAGCTAAGGATTGAGGATTCTAAGATGCATTCAGAATTTTGGAACAATCCAAAAATTGATTGATAGAGAAAGGAAGTTGGAGTGTCCCTTAACCAATTCCAAATATGTTTAACCAAAGAGCAATCAAAGAACAAGTGCTCAGAAGTTTCAGAGGAGACATTGTAGAGGGAGCATTTAGAAGGAAAGGAAAAACCTCTCAAGTCGATGTTCTCATCAGTGGGTAATCTTTTGTGCATGAGTCTCCAAACAAGCATTGAGTGTGAGGGAGCAGTGTCTTTGTCGCAAGGGAAAGAAACCCATTTCTCAGAAGGAGCAAGACTCACGACCAAATTGTAAGCATGTTTGATGTTGAGCTTACCATTTTCCATATTTTTCCAAGCCAAGGAGTCTTTAATTTCCATCTTAGAAATGGAAAAAGGAGAAAGGTTTGACACGAGGTTAGGAAGAGCCAAAATGATGTTACTATTAAAGGATCGATTGTTATTACTCCACTACTCAACAATTTATGAAGTGAGGCCAGATTGAAACTGGCCAGGGATTTTGTATTTGAATGCAAGAGTTTCACCTGCCCAATTATTCAACCAAAAGTTTATTTTTCTCCCATTGCCAATAATCCAAACACTGTTATCTAGAACTTTGTTATAGAAATCCTTGATGCCCTTCCATAAGGATGATTTGATGGAGTAACCAATGTTTTTGTTGTTTCTCCCCACTCTTGCAGCCACAAGAGAGGACCAAGATTGAGTATTGTTAATAAACTACCAATAAAGGTGAAGATTAGTAGCGGAGTTATAATGATGCAGAGAAATAATTCTTAGCCCTCCCTCATTTAACTTCTTGCAGCACTTTTTCCAAGCAACTGTGACCAACTTCTTTTCTAAGCATTCCCACTCCAAATGAAGTTTTTCATGCAAGACTTAATTCTTTTTATTATGCTAGTATTCCAATTATAGATGGAGATGTAGTGAACCATCATGATGTTTATCACAGTTTTAACCAGCAACACTCTACCAGCCATTGACAAAAGCTTAGCTTCCAAGCAGCAAGCCTGGGCATGGTGTTATCTGCAAGAGAAATAAAATGGCAAGCTTTAGGTTTACCAACAAAAATAGGGACACTATGGTATACAAAAGGAGGATAAACCCTTATGAAGCCAATAATCTCTACAAGCCTGCAATGCCTAGCAGAAGACATTCCACCTGCATAGATTAGAGATTTAAAATTGTTGCAAGTCTGGCCAGAACAAAGAGCATAATACTTAAGAAGGCTAGAGATAGAAGTTAAGGATTTAGAATCTCCCCTACAGAATATCATTATGTCATCAGCAAATAATGTGTGTGAAGGAACTTTAAAGTATCTGTTAGCTTGAATGAGGTTCAGATTGTTGGAATTAACAAGATCAGTTATGCCCCTGCTTAAGACTTCCTTTGCAAGGCAGAAGAGGAGGGGTGAGAGAGGATCACCTTGTCTCACCCTATTCGAACAATTAAAGTAACCAATTTGCTTACCACTAAAACCTATGGAAAGGGTAGAAAAATTAAGAATGGTGTGTATCCAATTGCAGAATTTAACACTAAAACTAAAGCAAGAAAGAGTTTTTAGGATGAAACCCCACCTGAGGGATTCAAAAGCTTTGGATATATTAATTTTTAAAGCTACATTACCACTAAATCTTTTGTTGTTCAAAAGATAAATGGCCTCATATGTGAGACAAATCTCATATTTAATACTTCTACCTGCAACAAAGCCTTTTTGTTCAGGAGAAATTAAGGAAGGAAGGATAGAAGACAACCTGTCTGCCAAAATTTTGGATATTAGCTTGTACTTAAAGTTTGCCATAGAAATTGGTCGATAATGGCCAATGTTGCTAGCATTCTTAGACTTAGGTAACAAGACAATGGTGTTTGCATTAAAATTGAGGAGAATCCAACCCTGCAAGAAGAACTGGGAAACAACATTTATAACATCTAACTTAATAATATCCCAGTATTTAACATATAAGACTGCACCAAAACCATCAGGACCAGAAGCAGAATCCATATTCAGATTCAACACAACATTATGAATTTCCTCAGAACTAGGTGTCATCAAAAGCATATCATTAGTTTGCTCATTTACTAAGTTAGAAATAAATTTTTGAATTAAACTAGTGTCATGTAAGACAGTATCAGAGTTAAACAACTTTTTGAAGTGAGATTCTATGTGATTTTCAAGTCTAGACTTATTAGTTTCCATATTCTCATTGATATCCAAAGAAGAAAATAATTAATTTTTTCTTTTGATTTTGGCATAGGTATGGAAAAACATGTATTTCTATCTCTATTCAAATGCCACTTAATTCTGGATTTTTCGTTCCATAATTCCTCTTCCATGTTCAAAGAAATTTCCAGCTCATGTTGAGCTTTGGTTTCTTTTTCCTGCAAAATATCAGAGTAACCACTACTTTCTATATCCTTTTGAATTTCCTGCAACTGGATTTCAACAATATTCACCTTATCATGAACATTTCCAAAACTAGACTTGTTCCAATCTTTAAGCTTAGCCTTAATAATCCTAAGCTTTTTATCAAGAATATACATAGGAAAACCATAAAGCTTGACATTACAAGAATCCCTAATCACCCTAGCAAAATCATCATTTAAAATCCACATTTTTATAAATTTAATTTGACTTCTAAAAACCACATTATCAAATTTGAGAGTTAGCAAAAAGGGTGCCCAGATTAACGGAATCTGCTAACTTCATCCCTAAAGGCTGCCCAGACTGTGAAGCACCAAGATGCTTTCTATTGACAAAATCACTGGTTAACATGCTCCTGGATAAGTCATTTCTCTTGTGGCAGCTAAATTCTTCTTCAACAGAGTATTCAAGCCTTTCTTCTCTGACAAGATTGAGCTCTTTACTGATGTTCATTGTGTAAACTTACTTGATGTCAATCACTTTTTTTGTATGCAGAAGAATGTTTATTATGAGAATGATAATTCTAACACAACACATATGTAAGTCTTAAAGTTTGAAAAAAAATTGAATGAAATGACTTCACAACTCTGTTGTGAACGAGTCACTAGCTAGAGAGCAACATTTGCAAATTATTTTTTATGAAAGATAATGCAAGCATATGATGCCAACACAGATATTTAAACATACCTCTTAGGAGTCAGTTAAACGCTATCTCGTTGTAGCACACTTTCAAATTGAACCATGCTTCAGTTAGGACTTTGAAAGGGTTGTAACGTGTCCTGGTTCACGTTTTTAGAAAAAAGGATTTAAGGCTCAAAATTATTTAGTGCCCACCCATTCTCCATGATATTCTCCATTCTTACATTCAGTTGACCCGATACAAGCATTCATCTCTCGAGAAGAGTTTGCGATGGTTGGGGAACCACTGAGGCCTCTTGGACACTGTAGTCATTAACTTCTGATTTTGGTGTCTGATCACACGACTTTGTTCTTTTGTGAGGATTTTTATTGGTAATCCTTTTATCGCCTTTTAGGCTTTTCAGCTTCTTTCTTGTCGTCCCTAACTTTTTCCTGGACAAATTCTTTTGAATTTCGATTTGGAAGTCCAACGGGATACTCCAACTTTTGCCTAAGCGACTTGTTTTCAAGTTGGACTTAGCATGGCTTTTTGTTTCTTTCTTATTCATACTTTCCCTTATGAACAAGTCATTGATCTTTACACCATTTTTGATTTGTTAGAAGTGATCGTGACTGCCTGAGTCTTTGGCAGATGATGGATAGCCATTTTGTATCGTCATCTAATCTCAAATTCTTGATGTGCGAGAGATACCCATTGGGATATCTTTAATTGGATGGATAAACATTTTTGTATCCTTAAATGCACACTCTTGATGAGTCCTGGACGCTTGATCAGATTAACTGAACACTACCCACCCCAAGGTTAAAATGAGGGTTTTTTCTGAACAGGAAAGAAACTTATACTTAGAAG